ATATAATCCTTGGTACCTCTGTAAGAATAACTGCAACATTTCGATCTGGAAAAATATCTGTATTTGTATAAACATGGGGATATCATTGTGTGTATTAAAGTGTTCACAGGGTATTATCCCACACTCCATCTCATATTTAGTTTGGACATTGCTACATCTTGGAAAATGGGAAAATTTCCAGATAATTCCTTTACCTTGAAATATCAGCAAACATAAGGGTATTTTGAGCTTGTCCCCTGCTAAAAAATGAACAAGTAGCATTCATGGTTGCAAGCCAGAAGAGAATCTCTCTTCAAATAATGCAAAATGGGCTAAATTAAAGCATAAGCAGTTTCAGGCACCAAGTTGAAAAGTAGTTCTTAAAGGGCTCTTTTTATCTTGGAAGAAAGTAAATGCACTCAATTAATGGCCATTCACTCCCATTCAATACAGCCATTTCACGTATTAGTGATGTATGGTACAAGATTGTGGTTTGTTTCTATAGAAACTAATAATATATTGTACCCAGCATTTCTCCTGGATTTTGAGAAGAAATGGAGATTGGAGCAGTATCTCCAAGTTTCTATGCAGTTTACTGAAGGAAGTAGATATCTGCATGTACACATTGACACATTGTCACCACTGACCTGAGGAGAAAAATAATTTAATATCAAGCTTTTTTAGCAGCAGAATAGTTTCCAGTCTGGATGTCATAAACTTTATGATGGAGGCATGGGACAATTGCAGAGATGGCAGGAGAACAAGCTGAGGGATAATAACAATGAGAGTGGAAGAATGGTAAAAGCAGAAAAAATAGTGAGTGAAAAAAACCCTACTGGTGGAAAGAGCAGTTCTTATCAGACAAGAGAAGTTACTTCCAGAACTGAAATACTGAATGCAGGCACTGACAACAGCATGAGTAGCAGGGGAAAGTTGGATCCCTTGTCCCAAGGGAAAAAACAAGTAGCAAAAAAAAAAAAAAAAAAAAAGCTGGAAAGCAACAAGAGACAAGAGAATGGAGAGGGCAAAGCATAACATTTCTTCCAAGTTAAAATGTTTCCAGATTGTTCTGATATTTAAAAATATTTAGAAAGAAGATTTCCCAGATCCCAATGCATTTGGAAGGCAGAGCCTCCTGAAATGTCAAGTCCCCTGGTTGGCTTTTTTCATCTGTTTATTTTTTCTGCCTAATTTTGTTCTAATTAGTTAAATGCTCAGCCTTGTATTCCTGGCTAGGCCACTTTCTAACAGTGATAACTGCTCGGTGGGAAGGCAAGAAAAAAATCTTCACGCCTCCAGTTACTCTCATGGGATGAGATATGTAATTTATTTGTAGATACCAGACTTAGCAGATGCTGATGATAGCAACAGAGAATGTTCTAAACTGGAAAGGAAGGGACTACTTTTCTTCATTCAGCAATTGCTACCCAAGCCATCTGCCTCCCTAATATAATCAGTTATCATCTGCATGGGTAAACTAAAGGATTGCAGTACTGTCCATCAGTTAAGGTACCTTCCTAAAGAGTGAATCTGGCCAGGGACTTGTACTGAAAGCTGCAGTTTGTTAACATGGGTGACAGGAGCAGAGTCCCAATGCAGTGTGACGCTGCCACATTACTCCCTTCTGTGGCAAAAGGTGTGGAGCCCAGGACATCATAGCTGTCCTAGTCTAATGATGCTCCTATTTTTGTCAGCCTATATTTTTATTCAGACACATTGGTACATTTGACTCTGTTACATCAACAAGGACGAGGGACCAAGCTGAGCAGTCTCACCTCCCTCACCATTCATGTTGCTTAGCAATTAGCTCTCTCCCGGACTTTGGTTTTGGTACTACTCTGGATAGTTCTCTCCAAGGCACCTGGGTATTACAAGGCAAGCTCTGAACAGTGTATGCCACATCACTTGGCTTTATGCCACAGGATTCACCACTAGCGTTTGTTTAGGCAACATTATAGACACACCCTGCTATTCCCAGTATAGAGCCTTGTTCATGCAGCAAGGAGCATTCCTAAAAACCCTGGGTATTTATGGGGCAAAAGTAAAGGTCTTCAATGTTTTGTTTTAATTCATGAGATTCCATCCTTTTCTGAGACTTTTTTGTCCCTATTCCAATCAAGGGTAGGTTTCCCAGGACAGAGTAGCCTGGGGTGGCATCCAATGCCAATTGGACCATGAGCATTATTCCCATGTGGCTTCACCCCCAGGGCTTCTTCTCAGAGTATTGCAATCCCACGGAAAAGAGCCTGGAGCAAAGTCAGGACAGTGCTGCTTTCTTTATCAGTGCATCATCAGAGTCTTCCTCAGCTGACCCAACAGGAGACATGCAAAAGCCTGCAGTTCTGAGCAGGCAACGCTTCAGCCTGATCAGGGGTGCCGCACAAATAAGCAGTCTTGCTGGATCTTTCTCTCAAGCCAGTTTTGCTTAACTTGAGCTGGACAAGTGGTCCCAAAATTAGGACTGTCTGCAAAAACGTGTGTCAGATGTGAAATCATCAGCTTGTGCAATTGCTGTTGTATGTGCCATAGCTCTCTGCCTACAAATACAAGGCAGCAAGCAAGCCTTAAGCCCAGAGTATTATCAAAGCCAAAACATGCAAGCAAAGAGAGCCAGAATCCATAACTTAGGCAATAATTGCCTTTTCTGCTCACAAGCAGTGTTTTACAGAGTACTACAAAAACAGCACAAAAAGGCACTAGGTCTAAGCCAAAGTCCAGACAGCACTGCAGCAGGTTATATTGCCAAGTCTGCTTCTCTGTGAGGGTCAGCACACAGCAACATTCACTCCCTGAGGCTGCCACACAGCTGCAGCTGCAGAGATGCTGTACCCCAGCACTGCAGCTGAATCTTTAAAAAAAGTTAACTCTAGGGCCTTCTACTAGATTTTAAATACAAACTATCACAGAGTTCTACCTGAAGAGGGTTGGTTGGTCAGTCACGCTGACTGAAATAGCGTAATTGAACTATTTAGGCCAAAAATCTCTTACTGCAGACTTGTTGTAAGTCTGCAAATAATCTCCCAGTGGCCCCAAGTTCTATGAACCATCCATCCTACCAATCTCAGGGCTGCTAAAATTGAAATGCAAGTACGTTTTTGCACCCAAATAAGCTCCTTTGGAAAAACTGTAAAGGAGTTTGCAAAAGCAGTTACAAATTAGTTCTATCTTTTTGTGAGGATGAACTCAAGTCTTATCAGGGAGGTAAACTCTTCAACAGTGCTATTTGGAGCCAGGCTGTAAGAGGACAGAATTTTCCTGCTGTGGATCTGTTCTGTCTGCATTTCACTGCAAATTAGTTTGCTGATATTCCTATGTCCCACCTAGGTCTTGAAACAATCTCTTCTTGACTTGACCTTAGCACAGGTTGTACAGAGTGTACTTGCTTTATGAGGACAGAATGTTTGTGAACTGTTGTTTAACAGAGACACAAAATCCTCAGGTCCTGATATACACTGCCCCTTTAGTCCCTAAATTAGCAACATTTCAAGCTGGATCCAGATGCCAGTTTTGCAATTGAGCTGTAACTGTGTCATCAGTCATTGCCTTCATGGTTTTGTAAAAACTCCATCATGTCCAAAGGTGATTAGGGGACTGAGACATCTTTTGTATGAGAAAAGGCTGAGGGATCTGGGGTTCTTTTGCCTGGACAAAACTGAGAGGGGACCTCACCAATGTCTACCAGTGTCTGAAGGAAGGGTGTCAAAAGGATGGAGCCAGGCTCTTCTTGCTGGTGCTGAGCAAGAAGACAAAGCAATGGGCAGAAACTGGAAGTTCCACCTAAACATGAGGAAGAACTTCTTTACTGTGTGGGTGAGCAAGCACTGGAAAAGGCTGCCCAGAGAGGCTGTGGAGCCTCCCTCACTTTGGAGATATCCGAAAGCTGCCTGGACACAATCCTGAGTGACGTGCTTTAGGGGATGCTGCTTAAGGAGGGAACTTGGATGAGATGACCGCCAGTTGTCCCTTTGAACCTTAATTAGCTGTCTCCCTGGGTGGCCATCCTGCCTGCTGCTGGGGCACTGGCAGCCGCTCCCTACAGTCGTCCACTGCCGGGATGACAGGACACAGGGTACACGCGGGATGTTGTGTGTGTGTGCCTGAGCATGTGTGCATTTTTTCACTTTTCTGGTATCACTGTGCTCATAATTAAACGATTTCTTTTTAGGAAGACTTTGCACTTAATACACAGTTCTGCACATCGACTTACGCACAGGCTAATCCACCTCCCAGCAAGTTTACAAAACGCTGCAGCCGGCCTGCAAACACTCCAACCACAGGAGACAGGCTTCTAAGTGTGTGAGGAGGCCACAACAATTAAGACAGGAAACAGCGCTTGACATTATCCAGGGGCTCAGGAGAAGCAGGATGGCATGAAAACCAGAAGGAACAGGGTGGAGCGAGCTGAAGGAGATGTCACTGCCGTCACAGGCGGCGAGCAAACTGCGACATGACCTTTAATTCCGAGCTGCTCCGCGTAGCCTCCTTGCCCTGCAGTGAAACCTCTCACCACGCCGAGGATCAGCCGAGCCGCGCAGACATCCCAAGATCCGTAGGGCTGCGATTCCCACCACACCAAGTACAGAAACACAGCTTCGTACGGGCACCTAAGTGCCCGTGTCGCCACGAGTGTGTGACGGGACACGGGACACGCACGAAGGGGACACATGCGGGACACATTCGGGACGGGCACGGGACACACGGACGGGACACCCATGGGCACGGGGGAACACACGGGGGACAGAAGGGACACACGGGGGGACACACGGGACACGCACGGGGGACACACACGGGGACACGGGCACCCTCAGCCGCGGCCCCCCCTTGGCCCTTGCCGCGGCTCGCGCCACCGCCGGGCCCGGCCGCTCCCCGGCGGCCGCGGATTGGCTGCGGGCCTCACGCGAGCGGCGCGCGCGCGGGGCGGGGGGCGTGGGGAGAGCGGCGGTGCCCGCGAGTAACCCCGGCGCGCGCAGCGCCCCGCGCGACCTCTTCCCCCCCGGGGCCCGGCGGTGACGCGGCGGCCGCGCGCGCCCCGCGCCCCCTCCCGTCCCCTCCCCTCCCCTCCGCGCGCGCGCTGCAAAGATGGCGGCGCTGAGCAAGTCCATCCCCCACAGCTGCTACGAGATCGGGCACACCTGGCACCCGAAGTGCTCCTGGGCTGTGCTGCACGTCACCCAGAGCGCCCTGGCAGAGTCCCTCCGCATCTACGGCACCCTCTACCTGGTGGGTGTGTGCGTGTGTATGTGCGGCAGCCCGGCCCAAGGCGGGGGCTGGCCTGAGACGACAAGGGCAGGAGGGGTATCAGACAGAGGGGAGCCTGGCCTTGGTTTTGGGTGGATACTAGGGCGCAGGGGGCAGCCCGGTCTGGAGTGGAAGGGGGCTGTAAAGGACGTAGTGGGAGCCTGGCCTAAGCGGAGGGGGAAGGGCATAGGGGTATTTTTGGGGAGGGCACAAGCGGTGCCATGGCGAGGAGAGCCCGGCTTGGGGTGGCAGGGAAGGACATAAGGCCTGTTAGTGAAGTTCGTCTAGACTGGGGGCAGAGGGTTATGGTCAGAGGCAAAGGGCAGGAGACAAGTCAAGAGGCAGCCTGATCCTGGAGTGAAGGGAAAGAATCGCAAATAGTATGGTTTGGTGTGGAGTCTGGTGCTGGGGAGGCGCTGGAGGTGGTGGGGCCGTTTGGTGTAAGGGCTGGAGGGTTGTGTGATGCGGGGAACCTGGTGTTTGAGCGGGGAGAGGCATGAGAGGGAGAATATGTTGAATCTGGGCCAAGTAGGGCAGAGGAAAGACATAGGGGGTGGTGACATTTGGAGGCATAACATACGGGAAGAGGATTTCTGCTGGTGGGTAGAGGGGCATGGACACATGCCTGAACATCGTATTTTTGTCATCTTCCAATACCTATGATACCTGAATAAAAATCCTTAGTGTTTGCCTGGGAGGTTAGCATTGTGTCTTTGGCAGTAGCAAGTGTAATGCACGTGTGTTGGTGACACCTTTGTAATCAGTGCTTTAAGATCAAGGAGATTCCATTGCATAATGAAGTAAGACTGAAAAAAATTATGGAGTCTAAAGGAGTCTGAGTAGTCAGAGAGTATCCTACAGGCGAGGTATCTTAGTATGAGTGTGCAATTAGACTTGGTTATATCACCTCAGTTGCAGCTGGCACATTTCCAGCAAATTAGGGTGTAGACAGAAGAGCTGGGATGTGTTTGCATCACCTGTGTAAACATACCCTGAAAGCCAATCTAAGCTGGAATCGCTGCAGGTGAGCACATCTGTCCCCACCTCCCTGCTTCTCCTCCCATAGTGGTACCTGGGGGAATGAGGAGTGAGCTGGCCACTAACCCTAACCCTGAACTGCCCCCAGGCTAACTTGATGGAAAGAAGCACAAGTCATCGTTGAGTCTGCACCAATGGTGGTGCAACAAAATTATTAATCTGTGTAATAAAGAGAAGGAAAGGAGTGAGACAGCAGCATCCTGGACATAATTTGGTTAAGCTCCCATTGAAGGGTTTCTTGAGTGAAAATTATGATGCCATTTATATATATATATATATATATATATATATATATATCCATTTATATGATAAAACAGTGACTGGTAGCCGTGTGAACCTAAGGAGTTGTCATGTCTGATGGTGAACATTTTCACTCTGAACTGCCACAGACAGTGGTGGGAGCATACAGTGAGCTGTATCATGACACTAATACAAAGAACATTCTCTCTTCTCCTCTTCCTTTAACCAGTACTATCTTCTTTAGATCTATTTTCTATCAAGTTTGCTCTGTAGGAGCATAAATGCTTGAACCAGCAGGACATGGTTCTGAAGTGAGCCATGAGTGGTGTAGTGGTGATCTTTCAAGTCTGGCTAAATATAAAGCAGCTTAAACAGTTCTGTAATTAAATCAAAAATCCCCATCAACCAAAACTGGTTAAGAGATTTCCTGCTCATAGCTCTGTTATGGTTCACTCAGTTGCGCAGTCATGGGTTAGGGGGAAGGGTCCCACTTTTTATTTCTTTGAAAAGAAAAACAAACCTAAAAATGAAAAATTTTCCTGACCTGTTTTGCATTGTGACCCTATAAACAGTTACATCTTGTCACAAACCCAAAGTGAGATGCGAACCTTCTCAACCAATGTCCTGCTATATTGTAAAGACTCTGCCTCACTTTTTGCATTGTCTTCTTTGCAGTTCAGTTTAGTTTCTCTTAGGTTTTTGTTGATTGTGTTTAACTTGCCGGAGTAATCTAAAGCTGAGCTGCTCTCGGATCCTGTCTAAAGAGAGAGGAAGCTCTTGCAAGTCTCTGCTCCCAGACACATAACTGTACTTTTTGTGATTCTGGACCTCATCTCTCCATGAGCTAACCTAGAAGAGGTTACTTACCCTGCTTTTAGCTGGAGTTGTTTCCAGATTCAGTAATGAATTGAATTGGATTATAAAGCAGGATTTGATGAGCATCAGAAGCAGAGTAAGGTAAAGAGGAAAAGGGTGCAATGTGGGCTGCAGAGGAGAAAGCAGAAGTGTTGCAAGTTAAATAGCCTGGCAGGGAAAGAACAGTCTTGAATTAAGAGAGTCATCACAAAAGTCATTCTTTGCTGGACTTACAGCTGTGCTTGAAAACCTTTTTATTGTAAATGAAACACCACACTTGTATAGCAGAAATGTTCAGGTTCACATAAGAGAATGGATTTAAATAATTTTGTCTTTATAGTTACATCAATGTGTGTTCAGTATGTTTCTGGTAATACTTAGTCCTGGTCCTTTGTAGAGTTCAGCAACAAAAAAATGCACTTCATTTTTCTGTGTCAAGCCTGTAAAATGGCTTCTGATTGTTCCTCCTGTTGCTACAAGCTAATAACTAAGGAAAGGAGATGAAAGAGTTTCCTTTCACAAAAGCTTGTGTACATACAAATGAGAATGAATAGATGAGAATAAATAGCTAGAGGTTGTTCTGTGAGAGAACATGGTTAGGGACAGTTACAATCCAGAGTCCAAACTCATAACAGCTTCACCCCACATCTCTTAAATGCTTTGTTTCTCTTTAGTCTGTGGGAGACTGGTGCAGCTGAATTAAGTCGTGTTAGGAAGTGAAATATTGGCTGTCAGTGAATGACTGTATAGAGTCTTTGCTTTTAAGTAGTGGTGTGCTCTTTGTTTAATTGTTGGTTTTTTTTTCCTTCTCTTCTTAGTAATTGTGCCTGACTTTTTTAGTTGGAAAAAATATAGCCTTGAGACACCATACTTGTACTGTCTTCATTTTTGCTCCAGTACAAATGGTTTACTTTAGTGAAAATGGGCTTGACATCTAAATTGAATTGTTCCTCCCCATATGAAGTGGCTGACAGGAATGCCTGCTTTATAATTAAGGCTGCTTGTGTTTTCACAAACTGAATATCCCCATATGTAAGTCTTATGAGACCCACATTAAAAAAAAAAAAGTTGATTAGTATCTATACCTAACAAAGAACCCATAAACAATCTTTCATAAACCTTGTAATTATGCTTTTTGAAAACTATTTGCCTTGATATCTCGACACTTCAATGAAAAAGTCCTTCCTCAGAATTTGCTGTATTTTCTTCCATCTGTACTTTGTTTTTACATTAGTCAAAGCTAAACAGAATGGGAAAGTGTCATCTTGTATTTTCAAAGCTGGATAAGTCAGACTTCTAGAAATTCGCAGAGGTAAGGAGAAGAAAATTATTTTACAGGGAAATTGCATGAAGTTGGGAAAAGGTGGAATACGGGCTTTGACTTGTTTCAGCTTCCATTTCCAATATTCTGTTGATTTCACATGGGTGCTATTCATCACATGCATTAGGCCAAAGTCCTCTGTTTCATGGGGGCTTGTACGTTTTAGACATTTGTTTGCTGATAGTGCACAGTAGATAAATATGCTCAGTCATTTTTATGAAGTCTTTGTAGTGTATCAGAGATAACCTGATCAGGTAGCATTTTCACCTAATCTAAATAAGGTAAAAATTGTTTGTGTGCTACTTTGTAGTAGCAATTGTAGAACCCATTCTTCTAACCTTTTGCCTGTGGGATGGCAAGAGTCAGTCATGCCATTCACCTTTCCTTTCTCTTAGTCTGATTGTGTACTCTCTTCACCTAATTTAAGACAGGCTTCCTCTCTCACTTTCCAGCCTGACTTTGGTCCTGCCCTTTTCCCTTTCAAACACAGGTCTTCCTTTCCCCACCTACATTTTCTGCCCGTCCTTCCCAGCACCAACCCCTTCCTCCCCTATATCTGCTGCCTTTCTTTCCTGCTGCTAAAGGGCACAGCCAGAGCACAGCTTGAGCAGCAGCCCAAGCTGATTCTTGGCTTACTCCTGTCTCTGACTCCAGACACCTCTCCCACACAGATCTGCTGGCATAAAGGAGAGGAGCAGCAGACCTAGGGCAGTGTGGGTGCCAGCGGGTTTGTTTCAGATGTCCTCTGCACTGAGTGATGGTTCAGACAACTCTTTAGAACAGATGTAACCAGAGTCTGCTGCTCCAGTACAGATTTCAATGATCCTCAGCACTTGCCCTATTTTATTGATTTTTTTTTCTTTATTAATTTCTTCTCATACTCTTCTCATGGTCATTTTCTTACTTTTGATTATCATTTTGGTTTCACTTTTAATATTTCTTCATACTTGTGCCATATCTGGTTCTTCCTATGCCTAGAATAATTTTCAGGTTTTTAGATGCCAATTGCTTCTTTCTGTGTCAGAAGGATTTTTTTTTTCCTACTTAGGATTCATGTGCTGTTGTCTTCCTGAGCCCTGTTTGACCCATCAGTAACTGTATTCTGTATCTTAATCTCCATTCTTTATGCTGTAACCTCTCTAGGAATAGGATAGCATTGCATATCTTATTGTCAGAGACACAAATGCTGTCAGCTATTGTATGAAGTGTTTTTTCCTTCCTCTGCAATATCAGTGGCAGGGACATTGGTATGAATACAGCGTGGGCCAAGGAGCTGCAATGCAAGCAGCATGTGGCAGCTGGCAGGTCACTTCACAGGTAAATCACTCTGACTGGAGGCAACCACAGCAAGAACAACTCTTCTCTTATTGTGCTAATGAATTATTTTGAAAACAGTTGTAAGTGGGACAGCATCCCCAGCCAAAGATCAAGCTGAAGTGTGAGTCTCACATCACTTTCCTGCTGGCTGTATGCACATTGCTGTAGGATTGGGCCAGAGGTTGTTCCCAAGGATGGATGGTGCACATTG